ATAACAAGTTTTTTTTTACTTTAAAATAAACTAATTGCTTTTACAAGAGCCATCGACATTATTATTGATTATTTTCCTAAAAAATTTTTTTAAGTTAGTCGCACTAGAATACACTTTCATACATAGGCATAATAAACTATCCATTGACCTTTAACTGCATTGATTTAATATTTCCTGTGCAATGAAACAAGCGGAAATAAAAAAAACCTTTTTATAAATACATATATTAATAAATTAAAAAATGTACAACTTCACAAACATGTCTGTCGGATATACCTCTAGGGTAAATAATAATTGTAGTTTTAAAAAAGGAAAAAAACACATTGACTAGTGATGTAACGTTCGATTTTTCACATTCGCGAACGCGAATATGTATTTCCAATATTCGGGAATGCGAATGCGAATGTTGACTTAACTTAATTTTATCTGCAAATAGTTATGTAGGTATTCATTAATTTGTTTTTTTTTTTTTTGAGTTTATGTTTCATTATCTTTAATTGTCAGAAAAAATATATAGTGGAATGAAAAAAAAATATAATTGAAGCCAAAGGTTATATAATATAACATTATGGATATTTTAGTTCGATTTTCTTACAAATATTTCATATTATTTTTTTGACGACACGTTTGGCTCAGTTTGTAGTAACCCTACTTGCTGTGCTAGCGGTCGCGGGTGCGAGTCCCGCTGGGGGCATTCATTTGTGTGATGAGCACGAATGTGTGTACTCTAGTCATGGGTGTTTATATTTATAATATGTATATATTTTAAGTTATATTCGTGTAGTGTATCAACTGTCTGATATCCCTAACACAAGGCTCGTAGCTTACCATGGAACTAGATGGGGCTGTGTGTTAAAGTTTCTATATATTTACAATATATTTATTTTACAAATATTTAATATTTTAATATTAATCGTAACAAATATTCGCGAACGCGAATATTCGTTACATCACTACCTTTGACCAACTACCATATAAAAAATACATGTATGTAAAAGAGGAAGTAATATTCGGTACTAATCAAAACAAATTAAACGAGGGCTCATTTCAAAGCCGAAATTATAGAAGCAATAGATGTCCTCTAACCACCTTCTAACTTCAACATCATATCTTTTCGTTAGTGCCTACTTATTTTTTTGAATTGTTGATTGATTACATTGTTCGAAAAAAGCGCGCAAAATATTGGTCAAGTACACCGAAGATTCAGTACCAACATTTAACGATGGCTGTAATGACTCTGCTTATATTATAAATATAAATGTGTACGAGCTGTCGTTAGTGAAATTGGCAATGCGGATTGCTCAATTATTATTACCTTATTCGGGCTCATGGCTATCATGATTTTATAACACCTTTGAGACGTCTAACACCTTAGTCTCTCGCAATACCACGTTTGCTGTGGAAGCATTCGAATATTTAAAATGTAACATTCACGTAAATCCAATAAAGTATTAAGTAAACACGTTTTTATGAGAATAAAAAAATTATATTATATGGAATAACTTTTTTTGCTTAAAAAAGTAACATATAAAACTTTATAACTTATTTATCATCAGTATTATTTAAGTTGGCATTACATTGCATGTACAAGTGTAGTGGAAAAGCTGTAGTGACCGGTGAACGCTGTTAGCATACACTTAGCATAACTTTGAAGGTTTATGATTTTTCAGAATGCCGCCAGCGAGTTAATGAAATGTCGCATTACACTTACTTATTATGTCGTAGATATTATGTTAAAGGAATTACATAAATAACAATATAAAAAATATAAAATAATGAAATTACTACATTTCTCGGGTAACATTGAATATTACGTATAATGTTAGACGAATTTTGCTCAAGCCGAAATTATAGCTGCGAATGCCATTACTCAGCTGTTTCGGAGATTAACCGGAACAAACAGAGAGACAAAAAATTTAATAATTGTGTTTTTTTTAAATACCGTATATAATTCCATATGCATTTAGTAAAAAGCTGTATTTTGACATTACAAACAGACACTTCAATTTTATTTATCTGTATAGATGTATAGATAATAGATAACAAAGTTAGATTGAACATGTAAGCAAACATTCATGAACATTTTATACCAATCATACCTACTTACTATAGAAATGTATACAAAGAAATACACAAACGATCGTGCATCTTTAATTTTTATAGATCTAATAAGTAGGTAAATATAAAGAAAAGACATAGATATATTAAATATTGAGATAAGCTTATCGACAAAACGAATTAACTTTAATATATTCAAAAGTCAGCATTAATTATTTATATCTATTACATCTTTGATTTTTACCCACTTCCCATCATCAAAACATTAAAAAATGTTTAAAAAACTATCTACTTGCTCGTATAATATGACTTTCAAAACAGATCCTACTATAAAGACCGTTGGTGTTTGTTTACAAAACGCGGTTTGTTAACTTACAGGAAGGTTCGATGACCTACGCATGTACGTGTACGATTGTATTTAACTATTTGAAGAAATGATTAGGTTTAGTTTTCTAGAAGTTACAGTAAAATCATAGGTAGGTACTTAATTTAATCAATAAAAGTAACCTTTAAAGTATTCTGAATTTTCCCTCATATAACACAGAAAATTACAAACGAGCTCTAGTACATCACATATGTATATCTTGTTTAATATGATATTATTATTCTGTAGTTTAGATATAATTATTATAAGTGCAAACCGTCGTGATCATTATAAACCGTTAAGTTACTAGTTTTAAACTTTTCATTTTCTTTCAACTAAACAGCAAAAACAAAAACTGAAATATAAAATGTAACTAGACAAAAATAAACACCTTACAGAACTAACAAATAAGCAGCTCAGATAGTCTACTTGGTTCCATACGCTGGATTAAAAAATAGCCTAAAAACCCGTGTCCAAGTAACATCAGTTGTTCGAGGTGATCTTTTTTTAATGCAATACACAAATGGATAGAATAAACATTCATGTACTATATACATAAAATTGAAGTCTGTGATTATAATATGGGGTATATTGAGTTCTTATTATGGCTATTTTAGTTATTGGCTAGTGGCTACTTTTATACTCCATAATTTTAACTGCCTCCGTGGTGTAGTGGCTAGCATGTACGGCTGCACACCCGGAGGTCCTGGGTTCGAGTCCCGGGTCGGGCCAAGTTTAGTTATTGAGTCTTTCTGTATAAGTAAGCCTCAGTAACAGCCCGGAGTTGGGAAGTTGGCGGTGTTTCACCCCCGTGCCTCGGAGAGCACGTAAAGCCGTCGGTCCTGCGCCTTAACTCTCACTGGTCGTGTCGAACAGTCGTCCCACCGGAGTATGAGAGTGACAGGAATAGAGAGTGCACTTGTGTCTGCGCGTACACTTGTGCACTATAATATCTCCTGCGCAGTTGGCTAGTCTCAATGAGATTGGCCGCCGTGGCCGGAATCGGTCGGGAGAACATCATCATCATCATCATCACTCCATAATACTTTGTATATCCCATCAAAGCATAAAATGTAAGCTCCCAAGCCTCGCACCCTGTAAGGAAGATCATCGTAAAAAGTTGTAATATCCCATGCAGAGTCACATGTAGAGCCAAATCTTTGATTGAATATCTAATCAAACAATTTTCCTATAAAATAAATTTCCTAATTAGCACCTTACTTGCACCTTAGCAGCTAACTTGTTTTTATTAAAAGAAATATCGTATTATATTCTATACACTATATTACCCTATCCTATATCACTATATACAGCTATATTCTCGTAATTTTAGTCTCAGCAAAGCGGGCTTATCGGGCTGTATTATTTCTATACTGCACCTTTACTGTAAGTATATAAAATATTTTTTCTGTTGACCATGTGATGAAGATAATTGCAAATTTTCCATAGTAATATGATATCTATTACATCTGCTATAAAATCATAATAAAATCGCATTAAATATTTATTACTGTATTCATATTATTATACCCAGTAGATACTAGTAACCATACCCAGTTTCGCGCGGTCATTTCTAGATTGATTTGTTTGTTTATTGTTTGTTTGAAGTTCAAACACTTAGAACGCTCTAATCTCAGGAATTAGATTAATCCGATTTGAAAAATTTTTGTTGCATTAGATAGCCTGTTTATTTAGATAGCCCGTTTATTGAAATGAAGAATGATGAATGAAGGCTATAGATTATATATATCATCATGCTACTAACCAAGGGAGCGGTCTATCTATTCCATACTAACTGTTAAAATGTACTCGGGGTGAGCCGCCATGTATCAGATAATACTAAGAATAAAACATAAATCTTATTGGCGTAGATTAGAATTTAGATGTAATAGCTGTTTGTGAAGAAACTAGAATTTTTTTTTTTACTATTGTAGATAATGTTTAAGATTAGTTAAAAAGTGATTAAGCAAAATGCATAATATTATAAGTACTACTATATATAATAATATAGGTAATACTTTATTCAATTTACGCGAATATTTGATTTTTTAGTTTTTACATAAAATAATTTCTATGCTTTATTCAAACCACCGTACCAAGCACCAAGGGTACCAAGCATTTATATATATGTATAAATAGGTTTTTTATATATGTACAAAACAGTTCAGTACTATTTTCTCCTCAGGTTGTCAATAGAATTTCTCTTTTTTTAGTACGTAGTATTAAAGATAAATTATGAAAAACTAAAAAAAAATGTGGTAAATATTGTTTTATAGATAAATAAAGATAAATTCTATTTATATATGTTTTTCTTAAATTTTCAATAATGATTATGGTCTAATTTCGACCACGGAACGAACGAAAAAATAGTTTTATTTAAAATAGTACTAGACAGTTTATTCTTATTTATTAAATAAAATGCTGAATTAATTTTAATGTACAAACCGACGCTCTCCCATGTTACTCACAATGTCCTGTGGGCGTTCAACTGATAACAAATTATTGATAATTCCCCAGTTCCTTCATTAGTCTTACTCAAAGTGATTAAGCAAGCACACGTGAATAGCATTCAGTTAAAATGAAATTAGCACTTGTATTTTATTTGAATACTGTTATCTTAAGCGCTAACGGTGGTCTCGTCAAAAATATGTTCGATGAAGTGCACAAACTGAAACACAGTATTTTCGAAAACGTAGTAGGTACAATAGCAAAGGAAACAAAAATTGTTGTTGGTGAAATTGGTGATTTGTTGCATATTGGAAAAAACAAAAAAGCTACTCCATCGAATCAAGACACTCGTACAACAACTTCTGTTAATAAATTAACTTCAGCTATTATGTTTAACAATAATAAAGATATCAATGATTTCAAGGAAGTTAATACTGGTAATACGTTAAAAAAATCAACATTACCATACTTAAATATTGCGAAGGAAAATGAAGACTCCTCTAATGATTATAATTATGGCGAAGGCATTATTTCACCAAGAATGGGAAAAATTGCAACAAATATCAAAGAGAAATAAATCGTTAATCGCAATATAGAAATGTTATTTTATGTACATGTTCACACAATGTATTACATTTAATATCCATACATTTTATTAATTCAGACCAAGATTTTAACTATATTTAACCAATGTATCAAGTTATAATAAAGCTCTAATATAATTGGACCCAGTTGTGCAAAAAACAGCCATGTGCGTAAAAGTACCAACAGAGTTATAAGCATTTTTCTGTCGATAGTTAGTATAGCACTTAGGTTATGTTTTGTTTTTCTGGTTATTTTAAAATTGAACAATATTTATATAAGTACTATTTATTTTTTATAATTATTTTATTTTTTATAATAAAATGCTTATAACTCTGTTGGTACTTTTACGCACATGGCTGTTTTTTGCATAACTGGGTCCAATTAAGCTCGATTGATCAACATTAGTAAATAATCAGTGTTAGTAACATCTTCATATTACCATTAAATCTGCACTGATACAAAATTGTTGCTTGCCCAGGATGAATATATAAAGTGAAAAGTAATTAAAGTTAGCGGTTGCTTGCTCTTTGTGTCATTTATCTCAAGATTGAAAATATGTCTGTCTATATATTATTGTATTAGTGTGTGTTACATTAGAATTAACAGTCTAATTTCTAATTATAAAAATATACTAATGTTGTAGTGTAATGTGAAAGTGTGTTTATTTGTTTGTTTATCCTTCTTTCACGTCGAAACGGAGTGACGGATTGGCGTGATTTTTTGTGTGGAGGTAGTTAGAGGGCTGGAGAGTGACATAGGCTTCAGGCTTTATACTGGGGGAAATGATGTAATTCCCCCGAAAAAACACGTTAGAATACAACCTGGTAAATAAATAGCAGTAACAGTTTTTTGTTTTAAAGTATTTAAACCATCTACATAATGGCAGTTAAAAATAACATCAAAGGTTATCGAATTACAAGAAACATTAAAGATAACAATTGTAAAATTGTAATTACATAAACATAAACGAATATAATTTAATATTTATAAGGTGAACAAAATCGAAGAGAATTATACCGTCACCTGGATTTTGTATACATATTTAAACAAAGATTTAAACGATGCAACTGATAGATGTGGTTAATTCATAGGATAGTTACGAGTACAACTTATAAAGAATGTTTGAATTCAAGCTTACTGCTAGAGATGAAAATTGGCATCGTATTTGCATCTATGTAATTAGATTGACAAGATCCTCATATATCCTAACAGGATGTATAACACCAATTTGCACAGTGATCCCTTACATTCAAAGGAAATTGTGGTATACGCTTCGTAGATCTTCAGTTACGCTTACAAGATACTTGTGTTGAAAGTAAACAGTTTGAACGCCTAGCGTCGAGAATTAAATAACCTAAGATCATAAATTAATATAGGGAAGGGTTTTATTATAACATATAAATATAACATATATATTTTGGTTAATTTGTATGTCTGTTATAGAAAGCTATTTATTTATTTCTTTCTGTCTATATAAAACGAAAATTACGGTACAGTGACGTAGCAAAAATGAAATAAACAATAGTTTGTAACGATTAAAGTGCAGTTTTTTTTTTTAACGTTGGGAAATACATTTACGCACGACGTGTGGGACTCACCGGCGTAATACAGCCAGTACTACCCACTAAAACCCAACAAAACCTTCCCCCGTCTTAATGGGGCGTCGCAGGATCGCTTACGCATTCAACTACGACGCCCCGACGGCAGGTCAGCCGAAGCAGACCACCACAACCATGGGGTTCCTCCAAGGTCCACTCTGCTATCAGAGAAGTACCAGGAGCAACCCGCAAGGTACACCGCCCCCCGAAGAGGGCCACCTCCCACCGCCCACCGAAGTGGGCAACCTCCCTGTGCGTTTCTTAGCTTCGCTACTACTACTGAGCCCCCCCACCACGACAAGGTGAACGCACGTTGGGGGGGAAAGTGCAGTACTCTAGCCCTACCCAATGCCAGTCATGGGAAGGTTCAAGAAATTACTTCGGAGCTAGACGTTGACCCGGATAACCAGCTACCAAATTTCATCAAAATCTGTCCAGTGGTTTTCTCGTGATGCGGTAACAGACAGACGGACGGACGGACGGACAGACAAAAATTCTAAAAACTATAGAGTCGGACTCTGTATCGATAATAATGTCTATTTCAATTAGATTTTCCAAAAAATGTTTAATGTACAGATTCGACTTAGTTAGAATTTTATTATATATATAGATAAAATCATTATAATTAAATTCGTAGCTCCATCGTTACTTGCAAGATAAAAGAAGGATAAGGAACAATAAATCTTTACATCAACAATATAAGTATACACGGTTAGATACCATGTATGAACTACGAATATAACCGGGGCTAATCGATGGCGTGATAACCATCTCAACTATTTATTAGAACAATGCCTTTGAGAAATAACGCAAGCATGAATCTAGATTAACCCATTTTTATCATAAATACATTCCCACATGTAAGCGTGGGATACGGATCCCTGGGAAAATATTGATTGTGTAAAAGATTAACTATTTTAATTGATGATTTTTACAAATTATCGAAAGATTGTTAATTATTAACAATTTATTATAACCAGGTGTTATTTATTACAGTAGCTATTCTACATAAATTATACTTATTTTTTAACAGGTTTAAGATAAGGGACAAGTACTTATTCTGGGTTTGGGTTTTCTCTTCCGGTTTTTATTTATTTCTCGAAGCATATGTAAAGTGTTTGTTCTGAATGTCCAGATCATATCAATTTGCTAATTATAAAAGGCACTAAACAGCTCATTTAAACATTCTTGTATGTTGCAGTTCTTTGTCAAAAAGTTTTTTTTTGGAACTCTGCCTTTATGGAGATGAAAAGACTTTCTAAAATATTTAGAAAATGTTTTTTTTTTGATATCTTAAAATCAATACCCAGGCGAAGTCCGGGGAAGATTGCTAGGTTTATGTAATTTAAATAATCTGGACAGCTTAAACGTTTGAACACAATCAGTCATTTCACTACTAAGCCTACTAATAATTACAGTAATGCAACGTAGACTCATTTACCATACATACATATATACATTGCTACAATGGACCACAACTGGTCGACGTAGCTAGGGCCGACCTCGGCACCACACCCAATAAAATAAATAAATAATTTAAAGATTGAGAAAATGAGTTTCGACTCTCTAATCTATATTATGTATGATGATATAATATATTTTTTATTTATTAACATTATTTCTAAAGGAAAATGTATATAAGTAATAATGTTTTATAATCTATACATATAATAAAATTCCAACTAAGCCGAATCTGTACATTAAATATTTTTTGGAAAATCTTATTGCAATAGATACAGATATCGATACAGAGGCCGAATCTATAGTTTTTAAAATTTTTGTCTGTCTGTCTGTCTGTTACCGCATCACGGAAAAACCACTGAAGGGATTTTGATGAATAGGATACTTTTTACTGCGGGAAATTATCTCATTTCTAAGAAAAAATACAAAAACTGCAATGTAAGAATATACTAATATATAAAACTTAAGAATTTGTTTTTTGGTCATTTGAACGCGGGCGGAGCCGCAGGCAATGCTAGTGTTTTATAAGTACATAAAAATATTTTTAAGGTGTATACTAAAATATGCAGTGTTACAAACACAACACAAAGAAATAACGTCTCATAATTCGCTAATTCGATTAGACCAATCTAGTGTCCTAATTACGACAAATTTTGTTTCATTGAACTACGTGAATGAATGACTTTGCCATTGTATTGGTTCAGACGATGTTATAGAGTTCAAATACCTTAGTTAATAGAGACTTGTAGAGTTTCAATTATCTAATTTAAGCTGTTCAATACGCTTTATGATTTACAAGACTAAGTACGCAGACACAACATACTAAATTTCTTGAGAGAAGTACCCAGTTTTTAGCTCTTTCAACTTTTTTTTTAGTTAAATCCGAATCAAAGGCCTGTATTTAAAAAAAACATAACAAATCTTGTATTTAAAAATTACTTGGTGATATTTACTACGTCTTTTCTTATTTAATATATTTTTAAAAGTTAGACTTTGATCATAATAGGTACTTACTCGTTCTTAGAGTTATCTCTACTGATTTTCCTTCCTCGTATGACATAATAGATATTAGATAGTACCTCACCACAGTATCTAAGTGTTATATTAACAGCGTGACTTACTAATTTATTTATTTATTTACAAGTTCACAAAACCTACATACAGATGAAATAAACAAGCTTAATTATAATTATTCTAAAGTATACAATCAAACAAATGATGTCTTCTAAGATGTGAACATCACATGCATATGAACAGAACTAAGTATTAACAATAAATTATTTAATACTTTCTTAGATTTACGCGAAGATTTGACATTTTAAATAAAACTATCTTTTCGGATTTTTTCGCAGATTTATTTTGATTATATGTATATATTTATATATTTTAGGGTTACTTTTCTGTAAATTATTTGCATAAAGTCAGAGTCAAATGCTAGTTTTACTTAATTTTATCACGTTTCCGTGTCTAAGCGATCACAAGTTATCACTAATGATTGTGGGAACGGTTTGCTCTAGTTTTGATTGAACGTGACTTATAATTAGTTAGCTACCAAAGTTCGTAAGTCAATTATGTCGAATTGATACTTATATTTACATTGATATATACATAAATAGTTTTTTTTTAGAAACAAATTAGATAAACGTTAAGAAAAATTATATTGAGTTTCAAAAATATTTTACATAATATATAATATTTAAAAAGGACGTAATAAAAAATAGATAGATATATTTATCTTACCGCCATCTTTTAAGTTATATTAATATTAAACGCATTGAACGAGACAGCACGTGCGTTAAGGTTTTATCAAATTATTTGTATTTATAGTTTTTAAATTTAAAAACATGAAAATTTGTAATCTCTGTGTACACACAGAGACACTCGGTGTATGAGTACACTAAGTGTACCGTGTATAGTGTTTTAGTCTAAA